ATTCCCCAAGCACTTTGGACAAGAGGTCGTCGGCTCAATCGATCTGAGGATCTGGTTGACGGACAGCCAGTGTTCCATTCTCTACCCCCCGTTGTCAGAAGAAGGCCAAGAAAGCGCAGTGTGTCAGAACAGAGGTTGCCAGAACAGTGGGTTACTCCATCAGAGGGCAATAGGGTTGAGGTCTCGATTGTTGCTATAGAAATAGACATACCAGTTAGTCGGATGGATCAGCAAAATACATCAGGGATAGAAGCCCTGATGCGCCAAGTTCCTCCTCCGCCAGGGGCCCCATTAGCCGAGCAGGCACCTACTGTCCAAAATGCTCTTCCAAACACCCAGAACACCGTGCCAAATATCCAGAACATACAAGAGGACACGAACCTTCCAACGGGTCCAGCTCCGCCCCCGCTTCCGCCTCAACTGTCCAAGACCCATACACCCAACCACCCGGACTCTCCCTTCGAGTTCGAGATAGACCACACAGCTCTGAAATTGAGCAAGCTTGAGAAGCTCTTCAAGAAATCGCAAGGGGTAAAGGCTATTCCGGATATCGAGGATGGATATACTGATGTGGCCGTGACATTGCCTGATAGGTTCAAGATGCCGCAAATTGACCGCTTTGACGGGTCCGGGGACCCTATGGTCCATCTTCGGTTATTCTCAGATATACTGCGGCCAATGGGCCTAACCCGACCACAAAAGCTTTCGTTGTTCGGCCGAACCCTGTCGGGTGTGGCCGCTATTTGGTACGCGAAGTTGGAAGATGAGGTAAAAAGAAGTTGGGATGAAATGGCCGAGGCCTTTGTCGCACAGTACTCGTACAATACCCAGATCGAGATTACAACTCGTGATCTCGAAACAACGAGGCAGGAGCCCAAAGAGACTTTCTCAGATTTCGTAACTCGGTGGAGGGCGAAGGCATCGATGATGACCTGAGGCCTACTGACAAGGACCAGATCAGGATGATTATGCGCAATCTCCAGCCAAAACTGATGCAAAAGATGATTGTACTCCCCTTCCCTACCTTTTCTGATCTGCATGAGATGAGGGTACAGATTGAGGACGCTATGAAGCAGGGCCTTCTTGACCAGGAGAAAGAGCAGCCCAGGAGGGCATTTTCCCGCAATTCAAATGCGACCACCAGTGGTGATGCAGATGCAAGATCTTCTGATGTGGGCATGGTTACCACCACCGTATAAAAAACAGCTACCCCATTCACCGGTACGTTCGGAAGTAGCTCACAAGGAACCAAATACCCACCTCGAGTCAAGAGGGTTTTTACCCCACTTCATATGCCTTTGTCAAAGGCTCTAGAGGTCTTAATCCAGAAAGGGCATCTGAAACCGTTGGAACAACGGCCCCTACCCGATCCTATCCCTGCAAAGCATGATCAGACTAAATACTGCGCCTACCATCAACAAACCGGTCATGACACCGACAGTTGCTTTCGTCTGCGCTATGATGTACAAGATCTGTTTGACAACGGGGTCATTGCCGCACCAAGTCCTACAAAGTCTATCGGCACTTGATCAGTGAATTTGTGGGGGGATAATGTGATCTGATCAGAGGTTGAACCAACTGCGGGTGGCACTCGATTTACTCCAGATGTGGGAAGGACAGGAACTGTTTTGAGCATTTGCGAATGCCAGTATCTGACTTGGGTATTCGGCCAGTCTTGTCGTTTTGTATTGAGTCAGTCTTTTCATACTGAGTCAGTCGGGTCTGTCTTGTTGTATCGAGTCAGTCCTGTTTTGTTGGAGTCTGGTGATTTCGGGGGTGTTACCTCGGACATCACTTGCTTGTTTTGAGCTTGTCTTTTTTTGGCTTTCTTTTGAGTTTGTTTCTGTCGAGGAGCCAGTTGTGCCAACAGATTTGAATGAAACAGTAGTGATTTTTACGCTCTTGTGTTTGCCTCGGCCGTGTGCCAATTGTGCCAGAAAGTTTGAAAGAAACGACAGTACTTTTCGCCTACTCTTCTGCACCCCAAAATCATTGCATTGACCTAAGTTTTTCAAAACTTTTTAAACACTGCGGTGAAAACGAAGAGGAAGGAATTCCTCGGGTTTTGCAAAATTTGATCATTTGAGAGAAAGAGATGCATGCTAAGCCTTTAATGATCGAAATCATGCTTGTTAATGTGAGTACTGAGAAGGATCCTGGCTTGATCCAAATTGGTCCCACACCGTTTTCAGCGCGAGCGATTTGTCGCTTTCTTAAAAATTTTCAAGAAACAAAATGTTTTGCGCGGTCTTGCGAAGACTTGTGTGGAATCGCTCTTGAGATTGTGCAGTTTAGGATCGCTCTCAGCCTCGAGACTTGAGCCCTTGCTTTTAAACTTTGACCTTGGATTCAGAGTGTTCAACGGTCAACCGCGATATGAGGCCTGTGTGGCCAAATTTGAAACAGCCCTCGAACAAGAGGCACCAAAGTCAGATCAAGAAGATCAAACCTCATCAGAAGAAGCTTGCGAAGCTAGAACAGAAACACCCCTCGAACTAGGGGCGAAAATGCCCGATGTGCTCGAAGAGCTGAAGATGGATCCTTCTGCAAATCGATACAACAGTCACTCTCTTGGATACGGATGGCTTCGAGATCCTAAAACCATTTGGCATGGACTTGTTACACTTTTACCCTTTGAGAGGCTCGCTGGGCCGAAAACCCAGAAGGGCGACCCAGGCAAAAGTTAGAGCAAGAGAAAAATACAAAAAAAAAGAAGCAAAAAATGCAAAAGAAAAAAAAAATGCAAAAAAAAAGAAGAGAAAAAGAAATGAAAAAGAAAGAAGAACAAAGCTCGCAAGGTCGAAAACCCGCGACGGGCACCTTGGCAAAAGTTAGAGCATAAAAAGGAGAGGTTAAATACCCGAGTGTACCTTAACCCCGAACTACGTAAGGCTTGATTCCCATCTTTGGGATACGTAGGCAACTTCATTCTGAAGTCCAGCCGTAAAATCACTTCAAATTCGACTGCGTCCCATGTAATGTTTTGCATCATCTTCGCTTTCTCGATCGAGAATTGGTGTGTCCTCACTCTGAGACGACTCAATGTGCTCGGGCCATTCAGACAGGGGCAAACTTTTTCGTTGCATTCAATCGCTTGTGGTGCCATTCAGACAAGAGCAGTCTTCCATTTTGCCATTCAATGCGCCTGCGCCGTTCAAACAAGGGGCAACTTTCCGTTCCATTCAAAACGCCGCATTCATTCAAACAAGGGCAACTTTCCGTTGCCATGCAGTGTCCTTCAGACAAGGGGCAATTTTCCATTGCTATGGATCCGATGTTGCGCATCTTAAGAGTAGGTTCCGTACTCGTTGAGCAGTGGTCATTTGTAAAAATAGTTTTTGAGAATTTTTACTAAGGTTGACTAACCTTCTCGAAAAGTATTCCATTTTTAAAACTGGACCATTTCTTGGACCCAAAAGAGGAAAATTTTCAGTGCTCACAGCCTAACTTGCATGATTTTAAATCATAAAATCGAACAAGTGTGTTAATCTAACTCTCATGATTGGTCAAAATTGTTTTAGTAGAAAGCTAAAACAAAAAAATGGTCAAAATGATGAACTAGGGGCACAGTTGAGTCAGGTGTTCTGTCTTTTCCCCTTTGTCAAAATACTTGCCAGAAAGGGCACTCTACTTGTCGGAAAGGGCACTATATTCGCCAGAAAAAGGCACAACAAAGGGTAGAAAGCTCTCACATCCTCCAAGCAACGAGGTATCAAGCAAAGTGCGAAGCATGAACTAGAATGGGGCAAGATATTCCATTCCGTCAACTGGAATAATCTTATCACGTCCAAACTTCCCAGCAAAGCATCATCAACTGATGTTAGCTGTAGATTTGCTACACACCCAGTTGTAGCGCAACCTTTCCGTGGGAGGAATTCACTAGCTGTGAGTGGAAGAAAGAGAATCTAGCAGAATGCTAGGGGCACGAGCCCACAATTTGCTGTTTATCCATCAACCACCCAGGAGAGGGATGAAAAATGAGAGATTGAAGAATAGAGAGATGTGCGATGAGAGGAAAAGTGAGAATAGGGCTTTTTCAGAAAAACAGAGCTTGAGGGCCGAGTGATGCGAGAACCACAAATAAGAAAGGGTGGGAAACACCACCCGGTGAAACAGGCTCCCTGTGCACGTCTGAGTGTCGTGCCTTTTTTTTATCTCGATTCTTGTTTTGAGTCGTTTCGAGTGTTACTCGATGTGTCTAGGTTGTGTGCCTTTTATTTCCTTATTGAGCCGTTTTGCTGTGTTCAGTCGTAGGCTCAATACCTAGTCGAGAGCTCATTTATCAATTCGAAAATAAAATTGTTTTGCGCTCCGAGTGCCGTGTCGTTCTCCATATCTGTGCAAAATAAGATTCGTTCTTTCATAAAACCGCAGGGTTCAACCCAGGTTATGTCAGAATAGCAAAACTAGGACCTATTTGAAGCTATATGGGTTCCAGACTACAAAGCAAAAGAAAAGAGGAAATGTCGGTTATCTGAGTTTGTTCCAACTTCAGTAAGTTCCGAGACTACATTCCGTCTGTACCTCTTCGGGTCTTGCCATCGCTCTGAAGTACGAGTGTGCCTCTACCTCAAGCTCAAGATCAAGTCAGCTTCAAGCCAGAATGGCGATCAAAAGTGCTCTCCCTGAGTACCATTCCCTGCCAGAGGCATCTTGGCTGGGGCAATTCAGCCCCCCATTGGATGGACTCCTGCATCGTCAGCGAACAACAGCCATTCTCCAGTTTTCACATTCGCTACTACAAACACAAAGGTTCGGGATTTCCGAGACTAAAGTCTGGTTTAAATACCCAGAGGCGTGTCCTCGGCTTGAAATCTGTATGGAAGCCCCATAGGTTGAGATAGCATGTATGCACCTCAATTCTGGATACTGAACCAACCTAGTCTGTCACCCCGTTGGAGAATAGGGAAAGTTGTGAATGTAATCAGGAAGAAAGGAAACATCCAAAGTGTTCTACGTGAAGAACCCTTGTCAGTATTTCAGAGTCTTTGTACTGTGAGATGAAGGTAAGTGTTCGAAGAGCACAGGGGAAGATCCCCATCGGAGCAAAGCGGTTCACCGCCACTCACCTCATGAGGTGCTTTCTAAAGTGCTGTTTTGTCCATTTATTGCTTTCCTTAAGCATCATGCATTGTAATGCATTGTACCTATCAAGTTTCTTTCTCATTTCATGCACAATATTGTATGTACGGTTCATTCAAAGAAGTTCCGTTTTAAGATCATTTATTTAGTGTATCAATCACACTTCATTCATTTAGTATATCAATCATACTTTGTTCACTTAGTTCATCTATCACACTTTGTGCTCACCTTTTTGTGTATCAATCACATGTTCGCTCTGTGTATCTATCACACATGCACACTGTATTCGCAGTGAGAATTCCATAATTTTCTTACATCCTTTCTGCACGAGGTGTAGTTTGGCTCGAGTTTACGTGCTTGCCTAGCATTCGCTTAAAATGTTGCATTTATTTCGCATAATTGCTTCATTACAGCTCTCTTTGCATAATCATGAGTGATGTTTGGCTTCGGGTAGCGTATAAGTCCACTCTTCAAACCGGCTTCGCCTAGCGTATAAGTCCACTCTTCAAACTGGCTTCGCGTAGCGTATAAGTCCACTCTTCAAACCGGCTTCGCTTAGCGTATAAGTCCAACTTTTAACCGGCTTCGCTTAGCGTATAAGTCCAACTTTCAAACTGGCTTCGCGTAGCGTATAAGTCCACTCGTCAAACAGGCTTCGCTTAGCGTATAAGTCCAACTTTCAAATCGGCTTCGCGTAGCGTATAAGTCCAACTTTCAAAATCGGCTTCGCGTAGCGTATAAGTCCAACTTTCAACTGGCTTCGCATAGCGTATAAGTCCACTCGTCAAATCGGCTTTGCGTAGCGTATAAGTCCAACTTTCAAAATCGGCTTCACGTAGCGTATAAGTCCAACTTTCAAAATCGGCTTCGCGTAGCGTATAAGTCCAACTTTCAACTTGGCTTCGCGTAGCGTATAAGTCCACTCTTCAAACCGGCTTCACTTAGCGTGTAAGTCCAACTTTCAATTTGGCTTCGCGTAGCGTATAAGTCCACTCGTCAAACCGGCTTCGCTTAGCGTATAAGTCCAACTTTCAAACAGGCTTCGCTTAGCGTATAAGTCCAACTTTCAAATCGGCTTCGCGTAGCGTATAAGTCCAATTATCAAATCGGCTTCGCGTAGCGTATAAGTCCAATTATCAAACCGGCTTCGCGTAGCGTATAAGTCCAATCTTCAAACCGGCTTCGCGTGGCGTATAAGTCCAATTATCGAAATCTTCCTGCATATCATTTTGCATCTTGCCCCCTGCCTGCGGGCATGCCTGCGGGCACATCTCTGTGTTATTTTGCATGTTTGTCTAAGTCTTCGGCCTTGTCAAAAATGGGTCGTCTCTGGGCTTTGACATTCACTCCCGTCACTTATGACTTCCGAGTTCTGTCAAAGAGGGGCAACTGTAGACACCCCATTTTTGACCGACCTTGAGACTCAGACGTCACCAGTTGAGCACTCGGTGATATTGCCTGTTGTGCTTGTTCAGAAGTCTCAGAGTCGCGGCTGCGAGCCCTGCCTCCGGACTTCCGAACCCTCTTCTGTGCCTTGCCTCGGTTTGTGAACCAGACTCGGTTTTCTCTGTTTCTTTTCCTGAGGGAAGAGAGAGGTCCCGTAGACCATCTCTCAGTGACCGTGGGCTACATTTTGTGGCCGTAGGCCATTTTGCCCATATTCGGAGCCCGGTTCCCGGTTTTCGGAGCCGTCAGGCCGTGTGCCTCAGTTCGGGACCGCTTAACCATCTCTGTTTGCTCTAAATTTTGGCATGCATCTTATTTACTCACTTTTGAGGAACACTGGGGTCTGAGAGACCCACTTCGTGGTCGAACACCACTCCCGGTGCCTAACAGCCAGTTTTCAGGGCCTCGGGCTGCGCGTTTTGGCCCCCGAACCTTCATTTTGCATCAGTTTGGGCTCATTTTTGGTGGAGACCTTATTTTCACTGTTAGAAAGCTTGTAGGAGGGTGGGAGGCCAGCAATTTTGCTGAAAATCCAACTTCTTTTTGGTCAAAAGTGGTTCAGCATGAATCCGGGAAGGAGAAAAAGCTGCGCGACTTCACCGAAACGGGCGTAACTCTTTGCACAAGAGGAATTAAGATATGAGGCCACCACCATTGAAAAGCTTACTTCCAGGGCTTCATTTTTCGCTCAAGAATATCCCAAGTCCAAGTCCGAGGGGGAGAGATGTGGTTGGTTGAAGTCCGCTTGGACCGAATCTGCGCGGCTTCACGGAAAAGGGCATAGCTTTTTCTACAGGAGGAATTTTAATGCAAGGTTTGCGCCATTGGAAAGCTAACTTCTGGGGCTTCATCCTAGGGGGTGGCCGGCCACTTTTCCCCTTTGACCTCGACCTAGCCGGCCGGCTAGGGGAAGTGGCCGGCCGGCCACCTGCAGCCAAAATGTCAGGCCGGCCTGCTTCTTCAGGTTGAGTACATTCCAGCTGTGCCTTGGTTTTCCCCCAAAAATATCTACATCCGGGGGACCCTTTTGGAGGGAAAAAAGGCCTCATTTTCCCTCCACTTTGGGCTAGACTCTTCTCTCCATCTCTTATCCATATAGAGAGCCTCCCAACTCTAGAGAAAGGGGTTACAAGAGTTGCTTGGAGCATATACATACATAGGACCCCATTTCCTTCAGGTTTTGGGCTCCATTCCTTCATCATCTTCAAGCTCTACCAACGCACCTTTCCATTCCAGCAGCAAAGGGGAAGATTCCAGCAGCTTAGAGTCACCAAATCTGGTCCAAGAAGCAACAAAAGTGTTGTCTTCAAAGGTAAGTCCAATTTCCTCTTTTCTAGCCCATTTTTTGCACCATCTCTAAGCCATACATGATTATTGATTTGAGCTCCGACAAAACTGAAAAGGTCATTTTTTTGAGCTCATTTTCTGTTCATTAAGGGCTCAACCCTGTTTGAGCCGCTCCATCTTGCACTTGCTTCAATATCCCCTTAAATGTCAATTTTCTTGCATGCTTTGGCAGCTCATTATGCTTCCATTGTTTGGACGATTTTACAGCCTAGAGATGGCCTTATTTTGACCTTCTTAACATGTTGCATATAAGGGTCTTGGCCATTTTGTGGAATATTTTTCATACTTCATGTTAATACCTCTTTTGAGCCTCCTATTTTTGGCATTGCATTTCCTAGCATGTTTGTATACTGTTTTTTGGGATTTTTACACGTTCTTGAAATATGCTTATTGTGGCCCTCTTCAATGTTGTAGAAGGGAATGTTTTCAGTTTGGGCATTGATATACCACTTGCCTCTTGGCACCTTTTGCCCTTTTTCTTGCATAAGAACTTTAGCCTTGTCTATCGATTGTTTTTAGGTTTTTACAGTTCGGAAAATATGCTTATTTTTGGCCCCTCTTCAATGTTGTTGAAGGGCCCTACCTGTTCGGAGTTAGAAGCTATGAGTGTTGCTCACACAATCCATGTTTAGGGCCATTTCTTGCATGCCATTGTTGCCCGTGTCTTGGTTTGCTGTTTGGCCATGCTATAAACTGAAAAGTGCATATTTAGGGCTGCCTTGCTTCTGTCTATTCATTGCATGTGCCAATTGTGCATGTTGGTATAGCTATAGGGCCATTTCGGGTGCCAAAATTCATGTTTCGGAACATTCCGTGCATCGGGTGTACTTTCGCAACGTTTCGGGGCTGTTTTCCCCCCCACTTTTCATTGCTGAAAATCCATTAGCTATCTGTATGTCATTTTCCATGTCATTTGCATTGCGTATGCATTGCCTCGGTTTGCGTGCCTGTGTGCACGCTTTTCGAGGCACTCCATTTTCATCCATCGGCCTCTTATGTGAGTGTGGCTGAGGCTCTCTCATGTTAGTATAAGTCCATGTTGCATTTTCCATGCCATTGCATTGCGCATGCATTGCCTCGGTTTGCGTGCCCGTGTGCACGCATTTCGAGGCACTCCATTTTCATCCATCGGCATCTTATGTGAGTATGGCTGAGGCTCTCTCATGTTAGTATAAGTCCATGTTGCATTTTTCATGCCATTACATTGCGTATACCATGCCCGTGTGCACGCATTTCGAGGCACTCCATTTTCATCCATCGGCCTCTTATGTGAGTGTGGCTGAGGCTCTCTCATGTTAGTATAAGTTCATGTTGCATTTTCCATGCCATTGCATTGCGTATGCATTGCCTCGATTTGCGTGCCCGTGTGCACGCATTTTGAGGCACTCTATTTTCATCCATCGGCATCTTATGTGAGTATGGCTGAGGCTCTCTCATGTTAGTATAAGTCCATGTTGCATTTTCCATGCCATTGCATTGCGTATGCATTGCCTCGGTTTGCGTGCCCGTGTGCACTCATTTCGAGGCACTCCATTTTCATCCATCGGCCTCTTATGTGAGTATGGCTGAGGCTCTCTCATGTTAGTATAAGTCCATGTTGCATTTTCCATGCCATTGCATTGCGTATGCATTGCCTCGGTTTGCGTGCCCGTGTGCACGCATTTCGAGGCACTCCATTTTCATCCATCGGCCTCTTATGTGAGTGTGGCTGAGGCTCTCTCATGTTAGTATAAGTCCATGTTGCATTCTATATGCCATTTCCATGCCATGGCTGTAAACTTTTCATAAATTCTAACAAGTGTGAAACATATACTACTCAATGTTAACTTTGCAAACTTTTTCTCAAGTTTCAACAAGTGTTTAAACGGTGATCTCGGTCTAGCCTACTTGTAAATTGCTACAAATTTCAACAAGTGAAGATAAACAATTATCTCGGCTTAACTTCAACTTGTAAATTTTCTTAAAATTTCAACAAGTGTTAAACCAACTTCCTTTAACATAACATTGGCTTAATTTCAACTTGTAAATTTTTCTCAAAATTTCAACAAGTGTTAATATAAGTGTGCAAACTATAACCTCAGCTTAACTTTAACTTGTAAATTGCTACAAATTTCAACAAGTTAAGATAAGGAATCAGCTTAACTTCGACTTGTAAATTGCTACAAATTTCAACAAGTGAAGATAAGGAATCAGCTTAACTCCAACTTGTAAATTGCTACAAATTTCAACAAGTGTTAAACGCATTCTTCTTCTCTCTGCCCCCCCAGTGTAAACTTAAAATCCACTTAGGTTCTCATCACACATGTAGCTTCGACCTTGTCGCCAAGGTTGAATTCAAACCAAGGTTTTCAACCTTGGTTTCTCTATTGATCTTATTTGGCTCCAACCTGAGTTTGGTTTTCAGCCTCGCATCGGCGAGCCGTTTCTCTTTTCTTGTTCCGACGCCTTTGTTCCCGGCATGTCCTCCTCGGCCCTAGCATACTTTTCAATTCTGGCCAACTTTAGTCTGATCTTGTGCGTTTCCTTTTTATCTTCTGGGATCTGGGATCTGCTCATTGTGCTCTTCTCTTCTCGGACTCAGGTACCGAGATCTTATCTTCTGGAATCTTGGATCTGCTCACTCAGGTTGAGCTCTTCTTTTCTCGGACCTACTCATCTAGGCTGAGATCATGTCTTCTGGGATCTAGGATCTGGGATTTGTTCACTCAGGTTGAGCTCTTCTATACTTGAATGTTATCTCCTTGGGAGCGCTCATGCCCCCTGTCTTTCATCCCTTCTGTAAGGGTTTTCGTTCCTCCGCAGGTATCTATCCTTCCTTACCTGGAGGTCATCTTCTTTGTAGTATCCGCTTCGATCTGTTGTCTTTGGTGCGTTACCTTCCTGGCCGACGTCTTTCACTCCGTGACTCTGGTTACGAGTTTCTGTGTTGCGGTCGTCCCCTTCAACGTCGAGGTTGATAGATCTCTCATTCCCAGCAGGAGCGTTGTCTCCAGTCTGATCATTCTGTCCGTCATTGGCCATCTATTCTTCTTTCTTTCCCACAGACGGCGCCAAATTGTGTGAGTGATTTTCTGATCACACTGCCCGCCTAGTAATCAACTGGAAAAGCACTGGCAAAATAGATGGCCTCTAGCTAACCTGCAACAGAAAGAGAAGTCTCCGGCGGTGGTTCAACCACCCGGGGGCACTCCGACGATCAAGTCAGTATATCTCTCAAAGATAAATCAAGTGCTAAACTCACAAGCTTAAGCATAAAAAGCATACCTTAGACCCATGGGGGTGCCTCTCTTTTATAGCCAACATAAACCTAGTCCCAATAGAAGCCTAACTTCTATGGACTCAGGATTACTGCTAATCTTGGACTCCCAGTAAGATTAGGATAAACTCTCTAAGAGTCTTATCTTAATACAAACTGAAGTCTTCTCCCATTCTAGGACTCTTGTCCTTTATCCGCTTATCTTGGATTCCGATATCTTCGGAGATAACCTCGGCCTTGCCGAGATCACCTCGGCGTCACGACCAGGACACGTGGCACCTCGGCTGACACGTCGGCGTCACCTTCCCACGTGTTGGTACTCAGAAAATATATCCCCACACTAACAATTGAATAATTTGAATTAACGAAATAAATACTAGGCAAACTCTTAACATCTTGAATTGCAACCTCAAGTCTAATTTACGAAATGGAGGGAGTCTTGTTCCTTCTGAAATTTGAGGAAAAATTTATTGTTCTGTTCATGAACCCAAAAATAAAAAATAAAATAAAATAAAGATAACTTTGATCTAGTCCTTAGATGGTTCAGTTCGGACAAATGGGTGTATCACAGGCACCAATGATCTGATATGTTAGTTTTAAAACCTCGTAGATGATTCAAGAAATAAATCAATAAAATATAATAATTATAAGTACATAGTTTAAATTATTTTAAAAAATAAAAATATATATATATTTTTTAAATTATATTTATCTATTTTTTTATACTATAAGTGTGACAAAATCATATAACTATAATTATCGACTCAATTTTTTTTTTTATAAATAATTTACATACAATAAAAAGATTAAATTATTGAATTATCAAAATAAGAACTATGGCATCCACGGGCCAAGACTAGATCGGTCGTTGGAAGAGTTTTTTGCGTTAGCAAAGGGCTAATCGGGACAAGTCTCATGGGTTCGTTAATTTCATGACTTTTTCTAGAAAGCCCATGAGATCTTGCTGATTTTTATTCTCGGTAGTTTATTTTTATTTATTTGCTTATTTTTTAAAATTTTTTTTTTATCGGCCTTATTTTTCTAAACTTGCACAAACTCTGGCAACATCAAGAGTGTTAGATCTCATGATTTTTATTGTTGATAGTTCAATTCATCTTTTTTTTAACTTCTCAAACAAGATTCTCAGTTTGATTTGTCATTCTTTTACTTGCTTAGCAATTCTACCAACTTGAATAGAATTGTTCAGCTGATGCAATATATTTTTGATAGAATTTGTAATTTTAGAATACGCTTGTTGAGAAAAATTTTAGTTTATGCACTAAGAAATTACTCTCTCTTTTTTTTTATTTACAAAATTTCTAAACTTATGCATTGACAATTCTAAAACGAATAAATTCTACTGTTTCTACACTAAAATTTAAGTTTATTTTATTTATTAAATTTGATATTGAATATAAATTTTGTTTGATAGATCTCCTTTAATAAGTTTCAAAAATATAAAAATTTCAATAATTTTCAATTAAAGCTTTTGATTGCACATATCATTTCAATACAGCTAGATGTCGCATGCATTCTATTTCGGGACATTTATAAAAGATTTGAGATCAACATTAATGATGTTCGATGTGTTGATTCATTTGTCTTTCATTCACATCGCTATGCAGAGCTTCAAAAGATTTATAGGCATGAAGATGGATAACTACTTTAAGAATTATTGACAGTAATAGGAACCTATTATAAATACCATCAACCCCATTTCAGGATATTTTCAGTGCTGGAAGCGAGACATCATCAGGAGTTGTAGAGTGGGCAATGTCAGAAATGCAAAAAAACCCAGAAGTGATGAAAAGGGCACAAGCCAAGGTAAGGCATGTCTTTGATGGGAAAAAAAATGTTGATGAAACTTGCATTCATGAATTGAAATACTTAAACTCAGTAATTAAAGAAACATTGAGACTACATCCTTTTGCTCCTCTGTTACTTCCAAGACAATCCAACGAGCAATGCACGATTAATGGATACGAAATACCTATCAAGACCAAAGTCATCGTTAATGCGTGGGCAATTGGTAGAGATCCAAGATACTGGAATAACGCAGAGAAATTTGAACCAGAGAGATTTTTAAATAGTTCAATTGATTTCAAGGGGACATGTTTTGAATATATACTGGTCGGAGCTGGAAGAAGGATATGTCCAGGCATAGCATTTGCTATTCCTAATATTGAGCTTCCACTCGCGCAATTGTTGTACCATTTCGATTGGAAACTCCCTGGTGGAATGAAGCGAGAAGAGCTAGACATGACTGAGGTGTTTGCTTTGACTGTAAGAAGAAAAAATGATCTTCACTTGATTCCCATTCCTTATCAATTATCATCCTTCTCCTGTTAAATAGTGAAACCATAAGGACGATATGTTAGATGCTAGTTTCTATATTTTCCAATGATACTGTAAATTTTGCAATCACTTTAAGTCTGTAATAGATTGTCAAGGAGAGAGTTTGAGTTCATGTTCATGGTACAAAAAGTAGGTAAGAGATTCAAAACCAATAACTCATACTTTGGTGATGACTTCTCGTTTTGATGATGCTAAGGCACTGGTCCCAATTGTTTGGCAGCTAAAAAATTCACCAAGTCTTTGTCATGAGCTAAAAAAACCAAATATCACATCATCGTTTTTTACTCACAAATTTTTTTTTTTTTTTAGCAACTTTTCAAATACATTAATTGAAAAAATTGAAAAAGCCAACCCGAAGCACCCACTATATTAGTGCAATTTTGCAGACAATATACAACACATGACATGACACATGCTCAGTGGAGAAAATTTTTTCTATACATCAATTAAACTATGAGAATTTTTGTCGCTGGAAATATCATACAAGTCATAAATGGCAGCTACACAGTCTAGAAAGATGGTCCCTCTAATGTTGTACCTAACTTCAACCCCCAAGTCCATAGGGGCATTATTGGTCCAAGATGTAGATGGAGTAGAACGCCCGATGTATTATATCAGCCGGAAGATTCGAGGAGCAGAAATCCGATATACTCCGGTGGAGAGACATTGTTTAGCTTTGGTATTCACTGCCCAAAAGCTCAGACATTACTTCTTAGCACATCAGATTCAGATTGTTACTAGAAGTGATCCAATCCGATACCTCCTCAGCAAGCCTGCTCTAACCGGGAAGGTGGCAAGATGGTTGTTAGCACTGGGTGAAATCGAAATCACATGTGTAGCTCCCAAGGCAATCAAAAGCCAAGCCTTAGCTGATCTCCTTGCTCAATTTCCAAGTGGTGACTATGAACCAGTGAATGAAGAATTAAGAGGAGAGGTGTATGCAGCTATGGCTTCCGAGGAAAGCTTTTGGACATTGAGCTTTGACGGAGCAGCAGCCGGAGGAAAAGGAGGAACCGAGATAGTCCTTACAAGAAAAAGTGGGCAAAAGTTTTATTTGTCTTATAAACTGGATTTCCATTGTTCGAATAACGAAGCCGAGTATGAGGCTCTTATGTTAGGCTTGATAGCAGCTGAGAAGCACAGTATCAAGAAGATTCAGATTCGGGGGGACTCAAAGTTGATAGTGAAGCAAGTTTCAGGACAGTTCGTCTTAAAGGAGCCTGCCTTGGCCACATATCGAACAACAGTCCAAAGGCTTCTTGACAAATTTCAGAAGGTCGAAATAGAGCATATGCCTCGTTCCGACAACAAGTTTTCAGATGCCCTCACTACATTAGGGGCAGGAGTTGATATCCCAGAGGAGGAGGCGACAATTATTATTTATAGTGAGTCCTCAATTTTATCTATAGATTTTATCAAGGCCAAATATTCTCGAAGACATAATGTGAAGCATGGCTGACAAGGTGAAATTATGCATGTTCGAGAAAATTACAATTTCTCATACATGCAAGGGGCAAATGTAAGAGGGGTTAATTTGAGCCCATTAAATTAATTAAGCCCAATAGTCCAAGATTGGACTCGAAAGGGTATTAAGCAAGCCTAGAGATCCAAGGTACTCGGACTCGAAAGGGTTCGGATCCACGAACCTAGAGACTTACTCGGGTCCGGACTCGAAAGGGTATTAAGCAAGCCTAGAGATCCGGGGCACTCGGACTAGAAAGGGTTCGGATCCATGAACCTAGAGGTCCGAAACACTTGGCTTTGAACGGATTCAGACGCAATCTAGAAGTGGCTTCGTTAATGAGTCCCAGAACACTTGCGAGCTTGGAGCTTTCCGGGATCTACGCACCAGAACCATGGGCGTAATGGAGTTCGAACAAAGGATCCGATCCTGAGGACGGTGAGTGGAGACAAATTCACTCTTCGGTTAAACTAGCCTATACCCGGGTCGAGGTGGCACGACCCCGGGGGGTCCATGAGACTCGGCAATACTTTGCGGCAGGATGTCCTCTGGGACTACCCCTGACCCTTTGGGATGATTGGGGATCATTGGTTAGGTGTGGCTAAGAAGAAGGGTTCGCCGAGGGGTTGATCTCCTCTTCGGGGTTTTCCTCATCCTCGGAGAGGTCACCTCCTCGGACAAGGTGGTTAGAGAGAATATTTCCCATGTAATGGGCTCCATCCTACATCATGAGGTGCCTATAAATAGCACCCACCCATAGCTTTACAAGGGATGGATTTTGGAGATTTAACTCTTTGGAAAGAACTAATTTCCCTTCTCCATTATCAATCTTGAGAGTGAAAGTGGGAGATCCATGGGAGAGCCTTGCCATTATTCTCTCTCTAGCCATTTTGCCTTCTTCTTCACCCAATCTATTATCTCCATCATCTCCTTTGTTTTTGTGTTCCTAAGTTGAGAATATTGAAGAATCTAAGCCTCTCATCATATTCTAGAGAATTCGAAATTGTTTTTCAAGGATCTTTGAAGATCTTCGAATTTTCCAACTCCTTTCTTGAACCCTCTCCTACACACAGACTTGTCTCAAACTAAATCAAGGATAAAACAACAATATTAGGCATATGAGAAGAAAAAAAAAATTACTCAAAAAAAAAAAAATCAAAACTGGAAATGTACGAAAATCCTCTACACACTTATTTATCTCAGTAAATATTTTCTCTCAGTACACACTTATTAATTTGACCTGTTTGGTAACCATTCCGTTTTTAGTTTTCAGTTTATATTTATAAAAATTTTAAAAACTGTTATAAAAATTTATTTGACAATTTTTTTTGGTTTATAAATGGTTATCTCAGTTTATAAATTTGAGAAAAAAAACGTAAACTCAAAAAATGAGCTTACGTTTTCAATTTTTTTTTTTCAATTAATTTTTTTTCAAATAATTTTTTTTCAATTATTTTTTTTCAAATATTTTTTTTTCTCAATTAATCTTTTTTTTCAATTAATTTTTTTTTTCAAATAAATTTTTTCCAAATATTTTTTTCCCAATTAATTTTTTTTTTTCAATTATTTTTTTAATTAATTTTTTTCATTTTTTTTTTCAATTATTTTTTTCAATTATTTTTTTTCAATTATAATGTGTGTGATCCCATTGTCATAAATAATAAAAATAAATATAAATATTTTAGGCCTGAACAAACATATTTTTTAGTTTATGTTTTTAAATTTTTTTAAATATTTTGTTCAAACCAAACGCGTTTATAATTTATGTTTTTCTAAAAATAAATAAAAACCAGTTTATAAAATTTTTGTAAACATAAACAAAAAACGTAAACGTTGCCAAACGCTACCTTATTAATTAATTTTCTCAATCTACACACTTAAGGTTACAATTATATATTTCTCTCATAATCATTGTACACACACCACTCAACCCTTCTTTTCCCACTTTTTTTTGTTTTTGTTTTTTTTTATGTTTTTCGGTTTGGAGATTTTAGCACTAGTTTTTCGAAATTATACATTTAATTCAAAACTTAACTTCCAAATAAAAGTGATTAGTTCGACAAATTTGTTTCGAAAAAAAATAAAAAAAACTTTCAGTAGTTTATGTCTAAATATAATGAAATAATTCAGCATTTGTTGTTCGATTGAAAACAACAAAAAGAAAATAAAAGAAAAAGTTTTGCACGAAAAAACTAATATTTTGATCACTAATAAAGTATAAATTTAGATATTAAAACTTCATGAGAGTTGTTATGAGAATATTGATTTGCAAGCAGTAGAGAAGTATAAAGTGTGTAGTAAGCAAAGTAACAATAATGGAAAAATTAAGATTTAGTTTTTTTTTACTCAAAAGATGTACATTAATTTTTTTTTTTTTTAAATGTGTACGGAGAATATTTTCATATAATATTATGAATGTTAGTAGATATGTACATTATGGTCATTTTAATTTAAGGCATAATGACTATTAAAATAATATTTCATTAAGTATTTGTACTGAGGTAATTAGGTATGTAAAAATAGAAATTTCCAAAAATATATCATTCTAAGTGGATGCATGGCCCCGCTTGTTTTAAGGTATAGAGGGAAGGATGACATTAAGATAGGGGTGGAACATTTAATGTTGTGTTTGTTTGTAAATTTGGGAAAGAGATTGAGATGGAGGAGGGGATTAGGTTGGGCTTTGGAAGGAGGATTGAGATAGAGGAGATAGAGGTGGTATTAGAAAAAATAACCCGCCAGACTAGAAATTTTTTATTTATTTTTTTATTTTTTACATGTTGGGATTTTTTTTTTTTTGAATATTAATGTTTAATTTTTTGAATTTTTTGTTAAGTAAAAATCATTGTTTTATTTTTTTTTGAAATTTTTTATTTTTAAAATTTTTTACATGTTGGATATTTTTTTTTGAACATTAATGTTTAATGTTTTTATATTTTTTTATTTGTTTTATTATTTTATATAAAAATAATTTAACAATCACTAAACTAATAACTATTATCAAAACAAATATAATTTTACTTAATTCCCTCACTATCAATTCCTTTCATTTTTTCTGAAAACAAACGGACCTTATAACTTTAGAATTGATTATTAAATAATAATTTATAAGGGCACAAATTAAAAAAGTGTAAGATAATAATACAAAATAAAATAAAATTTTAAATATAAGTAAGGTCCGTTTGTTTTCAGAAAAAATGAAAGGAATTGATAGTGAGGTGATTAAGTTAAATTATATTTGTTTTGATAATAGTTGTTAGTGCGGAGATTATGAAATTATTTTTATATAAAATAATAAAA